ACCAAAAGGCTGTGTTTTCTAAAACGAAATGGAAAATTTTCTTCTCAGCAGCCTGTAAGAAACTGAAAGCTCTTGCTTCGATGTGCCAGAGCAGCATTATCAATAAGCAACCAGGGAGAAGGCAGTCTGATGAATGATGTGGAATGAGGGTAGCTTGATTGTCTTCCTACTTTATTATAAGCTGGGTTTACTCCATAGAGATGAAGGCAGTGGTAAACCTGTTTGATTTAAAAACTAAGAAAAGACAACAGAAGAACCAAAGGGAAAAAAATCAGGCTCACTTGAGGCCTTCTGCTTTCCTAGGGACTTTTCTTTCACCAGAACTACATCTTAGAAAACACCCCTCAAAAAACCCTGCTACATACCTTTAGTCTATCTAAAGCCATAGATTTGGGTCAAGAATAAACCCAGTTGGGTAATTAATGATAAGGATTAGGCCAGAGTCTCCCCTAGGGATATGGCAGTCCAGAGGAGGTGGCCCAGAGGAGGCCTGGTGCAGATACCACTCGGCACGGTGCCTACGATGACTCGTGGATCTGGAGCCAATGACTAAGGGGGAACTGTGCTGCATGTCCATCCAGCAAACTTGCAAGGCAAGGGATTCAGAGCTACAAACTACCACCATCCACATGGAAGTGAAAACCAGAGAACCCAGGGACTGAACCCAGCCAGTGGGTCAGCAGCTGGGCTACTTCCATTGCAAAAAGAAGACTGTAAGCAGAAATCACAACTTCAGTATCATGTTTAAATGTGGAGTTGTATAACTGTAACTGCATTGCTGCCCATTGCTGTTGTGCAGCAATCTCTGCAGTTGTGGTCAGGGTCACAGTGGTCATTCTGGGACTGTGCTCCTGTCCATGGTAATATGAGATTCTGCTGGCAGCAGATCAGGTCACTTGTGCTTTGTCAAAGAGAATTTTATCTAGGTACAGAGTGAAGCTTATTGTAGAGCCAAGAATTCACATTTAAACTTCTGCTTCTTCCCAGTACCCCTGCACAAGAGGAGGGCCATGTGTGATGACAGACAAAGAAGGGAGGCAGCTGGTCCACATCCACCAACAGCTTTGGTGAGCAGAAGAGAATCTGTCACACCACAGGAATCAGTGTCCCCAGTCTGGCCCGTACAGGACTAGGCTGACGGTGGCCCCCTCAAGGAAAGGATAAGGCTGCACCTAAAGCCTTTGACACCAATCTCCTATTCCATAGCATTTGTGCCCTGTTTTTAGGACCAGCTTGCTGGGAAATGCCATCTCATGTGCTCTGCAAGTCAGATAACTGGTAAAGCTGCCCTGTCCTGTTTTGCTGCTTCAGAAGCAATGCCCTTAGAGGGACTGCAGCCCCCAGAGAAATAACACCTGCATGTCAAACAAGTAGTGAATATCATGCTCTTGGCTTACAACAATTCTTTCTTTTATACACTGAATATAGTTATAATCAACTTCCTTTGCCTGTTGCCTTTGGAAACAATAAAATATTTAAAAAAGAAACAGCTTGTATGATCCTGTTCCCGTTGATAACCACCCAAGCGAACATATCACTTAACATTTATGACAATCCAGTTGGACGGAGTCATGCCCATGACTGATAGCTACACTTAGCAACGTTGTGGTTTTGATCAGCTGAGACAAGATCCAAGGGGATTAAACAATGGATGACATCGCAATGGAAACCACAGCACTGGGAATGTGTTTATATGTTGGGATAATGAATGAATGTGCTGCTCTAAACGCATAAATATTTATACTTCACAGCTCTGCTGAAAACAGACAGGAAACCTTTTTTCAAACAAAACTGAAGGGAACGACACTCATACGTTGAATACAGACTCAGGCCCCCAGTGTCTGACTTTTGCTGACAAACAGCATGTAGCTTTTTTAATGCATAAAGTAGCGAGACCCCCTGCCCACACCTCCCCCTACCAGCAATCCTAACAGTGGGGTGTCTTATACCCCCAAAAGTTGATGGCCAGTGCTTCAGAAACATCTCCTAACCAAGTTCAACTCCTTTCAAGGACCCCCAGAGTTGATGAAGTCACCTTTGATGAGGGATGGAGCCACCCTGTGAGTGAATGACAGCAGTATTTATGTTCTACAGTGGGAGGAGAGAGATGGGACCACAACACTTTTAACTCAGATAATGTATCTTGAACAGGGCTGTAAAATTCAAGGGACCTACCAAGTTCTATACATCTAAAGCCTTCCAGTAGGCACTGGACACCCTTAGTTTTGGGGTTCCCACATGTTTGTCTTGATAGTACTGTATTCAGACATTTGAAAAATTACTTCAAAGGCTGGATCTCTCCATAGGTCTGATGTCCCAGTCTGCTCATGCATTGGTGCTTCCTGCATAAGCAACCCATGTCCCATTCAATATGCTGCTGCATTATCACTTCCCCACAGCAAAGCTCCCAAATCAGCTCTAGAGCAACCTCATACAGAATATAGGAGGACCAGACTTTCTGTAAGGAAATCTGGCAGTTGAAGTGGTTAACTTCAACTGTCAGCATGGGCAGCAGAAAATACCTTGAGGCAAAGAAAACATTTTCCACACATATCCATCTGGCTAAGTTAAGATGTCCCTCAATTATTCTTTTCAAACAAGTATCATTGCCTAAAATAAAAAACTAAATGAAACTCTAGCTGTGCAAAGCTAAAAATTTTACACACAGTCTTTTTACACTTAATTTTTTTAATGTGGTATATATCCATATCACATGAGTTTTGCCTAAATTAACCATAGTTGGACAACTTCTTAATTTCTCTAGTCATGTTTGTAGCTCCCAGGTTTCCTGAATGTTTTACTATGTCTTATTACAACTGAAGCATTTATACCAGTGTCCTATGTACATACATGCTGAAAGGCTTCAAGTGTAAAATGAAACACTGTACTTGGTTCTAAGACCACACTATTATCCCAGCTGCAGGGCATAAGAGATAAAATCTGTATTTAAAAAAGAAGCAATAAATATTTCTTGAGAAACCTGTTTTTAAGAATGGCAGTTTTTTAAAACTTCTGGAAAGTCACCCTGTATCCCTGGGAGACAAGATTACCAGGCAGGGGATGGAATCATAGGTGTGTGCAAAATTGCACAGTTGCAGTGTGCGCCCACACTGATGACAATACATCTTCCAGCTCCCTCCAGGATATCACTTGCATATTTGTATATGTGATGCATTTACTCTACACAAGGTATATAGCATCGATTACATTCCTCAGACATGTCCTTGATCCCAAAAACTGTAGGACAGTGTCTGCAAGGTGCTGACCTCCATCAACAGACCAGAGCTGACTGTCCTGTCATTAGGGAGGAATAGGGAAGGACGGCAAGGACATGTTTTTCACCATGAATTCCATCTTTGGCACCTCACTGGGACCTCAGGGACAGCCAGGGGTACTCACTGATGCTCAGCCTGTCACTGATGTCTGGTTTTGCTAAATTCTTAATTCTCTGCTGTCCTTTTTATCTCCCTGTCAACTTGTGCTGCCTTTGTTGTTTCTCTTCCCATCTTCCCACTGAACACTAAGTCTTCTACCTGCTCCATTAATTCTTGGTCTCCAATGTCTGCCCATCCAGCTTAAAAACTTGGAGTATTACCAGGATAAGAGAGGGAGAAAAAACACCAAAAGAGACATGGTAAAAAACAAAACAGAACAGCCATAGACGCATTAGGGTGGGGAATGGGGTGGTCACACCATTCATCCTGGTAACATGCACCATCTAAATTAAAAACCTAAGAATCTTATTACACGGAGATGAACTTGTTTGGAAACATTCTCTGGGGCACCTCTTCTTTTCCACTGTCTGTACAGGGAATTTAACCTCCTAATTTAGGCAATAGCAACATGGATCATCCTCTCCACCACACTGAAACCACCCTATAGCACCCACTGCTTTGTGATGGTGCAATAAAGAGGTACCGTGGGGGTTAGTGGATGTAACTAAATATTCCTAATGAAAGAAACTAAACATCTCCTAGTCCCAATGGCTCACCACGTTTACTCCATAATCTCAAAGCAAGACCTATTCTCTAGTTTGTAAAAGTCCCTCTGCACTTTCAGCTCAGCCAAAGGCATCAGCACATCCTTCTGTGCTTGGGCTGAAGTGCCACTTACAGGGTGGGGACTCTGGACTGTTGTATAAACAAATGCTGCTGTGGATAATGTTGCTCCTTGATCAATACCCACTTTGATCAAATGATCAATGCTTTTTCTTTTTTTAAAAGGCACTTTGCTCTGTGGGGAGCTTATAGCTTGACGAATGGTGACACATGAAGCAGTTTCCGAAAAGTAGGAAAAGGTCAGCTCAGAAATGCAACCTGACAGCAAGCTGAGAGGTAACTTGTGATCTGATGGCATGGAGAAACCAAAGGCAACAAATCAAAGCTTGGCTTAGTCCAGCAGAGGTAACTGACTCTCTACAGCAGTGATTTTGAAAATAACTTTTGCTGATTCAAGAACATTAAAAATAGAAGTCAGCCACAAAATTGGATTTTCCCCATGCTTTTGGAAATTTTTTTTTACTATACTTCTGATAATTACTGGGGTTATCAAAATGCTTAGGGCTCCACTGTGCCAGAAAAATAGCCATATGGCCATCAATTGGTTAGCATAAAGCACCAAAATTCACAATGGCTGTTCCCTGATCGCTAAAAAGCACAAAACTCCTGCACAGAATAACCAGACTCTGGCTAAGAAGTAAAAGTCTGGTTAGACCTAAGAAGTAAAAGAAACAGGAATAGCAGCTGAATACCCAGATCACACTGTGCAATAAAAATGCGGAGGAAACGAAAAAATATTCTGGAGGAATCTACCAAGGATCTTGTGACATCCATATAATTCCCTGTTTAAAACATCGCCAAACCCTCCCTCGTTTTCATGGGCTAAGTCCATCACACGCTCCTGCGATAAAGCCATTTTTCTCATCAGAAGGCCATTTCAAACATACAGAGTCCTTTCCCCGAGACCCTGTTTTATTTCTCCTTCACCATCTCCCAACTTACCCTCCAGGGCACAGAAACGGGTCACCTTCTCCGGCATCAGCTTCCCGACCTTGTGCTGACAATACACATCCGCGATCTCCTGGCGACACTGCTTAGACTTAGCGCGGGACATGGCTGAGATTGCCTCTTTGCCCGTGACCTCACACGTGGGTGGTTGGTCGTATTTCAGTTCAGGGGAGCTGTTTTCAATTTTTTTTAAAAGATGCTCTTTGGGAGAGCTGTCAATCTCCTTCAGATTGTTGTTGTTGTTGTTGCTGCTGTTTTTTCCGGGGTGTTCACTGAATTGCACCACCTCATTGGAGTTCTTCCCCAGCAGCAAGTTCTCCTTCATCTTTTCCTCTTCCAGTTTCTTTCTCAAGTGCTCCTTTTGCTTGCTAAGGGGTTTTTTCACCAGCTCAGACTGGTGTTTTTGCCTCTGAGTCCTGGGAGCAAAGTTACTGTTATCAATAGTTTCAAAGTCCTTGGGGACTGAATTTTCATTATTGCTGTCTGTTCGCATTTTCTCTTTCGGTCGGTGGGAAAAATAGCCATCCTATAAATGGGGAGAAAAATTATACTCATCTTACTAAAATAGTCATATCCCATGCATTACAAGCATTTCTTACATGACAACATAAATCAATTACAATCCAACATACTGCAAAAAATCCCCACGTTAGGGTTCATAGCAGAAAGGCAGAGCTAAGAAGCTTCTGAGCTGCCCAAGTCACCCACAGGGGCACTCCCTTCCTCACTGGGCCAGAGTCTAACTCCCATCTCAGATGGAGCAGGGGTGTTTTACTCAGGTTTGTGAGCAGGGATTAACCAGACACTTCGCCTGACACCATTAAATATCTATGACAAAACTCACACAGGTTTCAGTGGAGCAAGAGCAGGTCCTTCAGTGCTTTCCTTCCCTCCTTGGGATAAGGACTGCAGTTTGGTATCCCAGGAACTGCCCCATTCCTCTGCAGAAAGCACCACCTGACCACAGGACTACACCCTGACCTTTCTTCCACTGAAGTAACTTTGCTACAAACCAAACCCCTCCCAATCTTATTTTTTTCCCCAGTTTCTACATACTAGAACTTCAGAGAAGTGTTCCCATCGGGTGGATGCACTGCAGGCTTCCTGCAGGTGGGAATCTGTGGGAGCAACAAGCCCTGTGTGAGCAGCTGCAGACACTTGGGCTCCCCGGGAGGGTCAGAGCCAGGCTCAGGTGTTGGCTCTTAACCACCATGGTCCTCTTCTCCACACTGGGTACTCTCTGATAAATACACAGCCCACAATGTTGCAACATTTAAAATATATCATATAAAGGAAAAGGAACAGACCATGGAAAATATCTGTCTGCAGCAGAATAAGGCTCTGCTTCACAATTTCACCCCTGTGATAGGTGGAGACCTATTACCACAGGAACTTGTCCCTGCTCATCAACAGCACAGGTGTTGATGTTTACAACAGCAAAGAAAAGGGAGGATTCTCATAGACTGTGAGAGACAGCAGAGGACAGGGTAATCTACTCTAGAAAAGATGTGACAGGCTAGAACACAACCAAGGGGCACCTAGGTGTGTATATGACTATCAAATGGGACAGCCAGGGGTGGGTGAGGCTGAGCTGCCTTCACTCCAACCATGGAAATCAGTTCTCAGACTAGTGGGGGACACAATTTTTAGACCCATAGACAGGAAACATCTCCACTTCTAAAAGTGATCAGTAATAGATGAAATGAATGATGAATTGTTATTAAAACATCTGAAGACAGGAGTATAAATATTAATGGACTTTTTGAGCCTGTCCTGTTTCCTTTCCACTTGTGGAAGACCCAACCAAAAATTAGAGGCTGGGAAATGACAGCATCACTAATGATGACTGATGGGATCATCTTTTAGCACCTGTGAATCACATTTTGTATTCAAAACATTTTACCAGCATTAGCTAATTCTTTCTCACACCTCTTCTGGGAGGAACTAAACAGTGAGGGTTTGCAGAGAAAGGAGAGGGAGATAATGACTTATCCAAGGCCATGCAGGAAGTCAGTATCAGTTTGACCTCTGCAGCTCAGCAATGAAAAATGTTTGAATAGTTTATTCATTAGAAGATGTTGTTTTGTAAGTGGATGAAGTGATTCTCTCTCCATGAATATGTTCAGTTTGCAATTAGCTTTAGCAGTCCAACACAGAATACAGAGGAATTAAAAACAACAACAACAAAAACAAACAAACACACAAAAAACCCCCCACACGACACAAAAACCCCTGGCAACAACTCACAAACCAAAATGCAAACATTTTTCTAACAAACAATATATTTCTAGTTTAGGGAGAAAGATTTTTTTTTTTTAAATTCAAATTTTAAGGGCACACACGAAATTAAATTCTTTTTTCTGTCTTTTTTTTTTTTTTTTTTTAGGAGAGGAAAAGGACAGCATTTAGTACAGAATCACAGATTCATTTAAGTAGAAAAAGACTTTTAGGATCGTGGACTCCAACCATTTCCCCAGCACTGCCAAGTCCACCACTAAACCATGTCCCCAAGTGCCACACCTAAAAGTCTTTTAAATCCCTCCAGGGACTGTGACTCCACCACTGCCCTGGGCAGCCTGTGCCAGGGCTTGACAACCCTTTTCCATGATTAAAATTTTCCTAATATCCAACCCAAATCTTCCCTGGCACAACTTGAGCTCATTTCCTCTTGTCCAGTCACTTGTTACCTGGGAGACAAGACCAATCCCCACCTGGCTACACCCCCCCTAAATCCCGATCTGTACAGCAAATGCATCTGTATAAAGGGGCAAAGAAGGGAGAGGAGATGTTCACTGTTGATTTTTTTGTGGTAATTATTACCCACAAATGAGACACTGGCCTGAACCAGAACAACAGGCACCAACCCCCCATGTTCCCAGGAGCACACAGCCTTGCCCACACTCTGCCCTCCTGCCCCATCCGAACCTCTGGAGTTTGACAAAGTGCCAAAAGATGAGGTGAGGGCCCGTTTCTGTTTCAAACAGCATCTGACATAATATCTGTGTGGTGTTTCCATCTGGATCTTTGCTCTCCACGTTACCAACCCTGCGCCCAGGAGTGCTGGACAAGCTGTGCAGCTTCCCTGGGACTGCCAGAGGCTGCAGCTCCGGGCTCTGCAGCAGTGATCCCACCTGGCTGGTGCACTAAGCTGGCACAGAGCAGCAGAAAGCTGTGAGGAAACCTCAGGAGAAAAAAGCAAAGCAAACAGCAGATTTACTGGTGTGCAGTTCACCTCTTTAAACTGTTTTCCTTCTTCAAGTGCTTTGCCCCCTCTGGGAAATGCTTTTCCAAGTCTACATGCTGGAATCTGAAATAACAAATGAATTCTAAATGCTTCAAAGGCAGACACAAAACGAAGCTCGGCTGTAACTCTTCCCTGCCTGCAGGGACAGTGAACACGACAAAACCTCCCCACAGGAGGACACCCAGTATCTGCAGGGACATCTCTATGGGAGGAGCAGGGACTGAAAATAAAGCAGGGTCTGTACAACAACTGTAAAACCAAGAGCTATAGATATACATTGAAAAATAAGGACATGTAACAAATACCCCTGTTGGACAGGGAAATCCACCCTCACGCAATCCCACACCTGTTGGTGCAAGTGTAAAATGCCACAAAACCAAAAACCTCCACCCACCTCTAATTTGCTTTTCTCTCTCGATTGCTGTCACCAAAGCCAAGCATGATTGTTACAGTATAATGATTTCAAGATAGGCTCCAGACATGACAGCAGAATGCACACATTTGCAGTGCAGAGGAAATGAAACTCAGCACTCTGAGCTTAGAACAGCAGCAGCTGCTGACAATAAGTTGTGTTCATTTGTGAAGTTCAGGGGTACAAACAAAAGCAGCACATCTGGTTTTCAGCTGCCTGCAGGAAAATGGGTTTTACTTGCTCTGCAGTATTTTATTTTTACAGTGCTGGATTAATTGCAGACTTTGTCATGGATGTCTGAGACATTCAAGACAGGACAAAGTCATCTTGCAGAAAGATGATCTGGAAACCAGGCAATTCCAGTTCTGACAGTACCATAGCACAGACATCAGTGGGTTCACCATCTAAATCATCATTTTTCTCAACTTTTATCTATTTGTTAGTAGCACCTCCTTATCTCTGTGCTTGCAAATCACTGAAAAAATGGAAGGCTATCCCAGGACCAAATGAGAAGCAGAGAGCCTACTAATATAGCCTGTATGTGTCTACAGTCAAAGATGAAAGGATTATTTTCAAACCAACACCAAACACTGCTATTTTTTGTTTTGTATCGATCTCATCCAAAGAACACACAAAAAAGTTATTAGGGAAAGCACCGTTTTGGTCTTTGCAACAGACCAAATCTCTCTAGAACAGACACAGATCAGAGGAGGATCTATCCAAAGTCAACTCATTTGAGAGGCTACCCTATTACATTACTCAGAACTATAAGGTGTCAAACACAACACATGCCACCCAAGAGCACACATTTCAACTGTGCCTCTCCTACAGTCCCACCCTCTGTCAGTTTAAAGCCCTTTCCTCTTGTCCTATCACTCCATGCCTTTGTAGAAGTCCCCCTCCAGCTCCTTGTAGCCCCTTTAGGTACTGGAAGGTGCTAAAAAGAAATCTCTGGAGAGTTTCCTTCACTTTGCAGCACCATATTTCAAAGATGAAGTGTGACATTGTGGATGTGTATCATCGAACACAGATCTAAGAGAAGGATTTCCACAAACTGAAATTTTCTGTCCTAACTTCATCAGAAAACACACAGAGAGGTTAAGTGCTGAGTACTCAATGGCAAGAGCCCTGTCAGGGAGAGTTTTAATGACCATAGGGCCTCTTCTGTGCCTGCAATTCAGCAATAACAAGCAAATTCTCTGAAACTGGGAAAGAACAGTCTGTACCCAGGAGTGTGCATGAGATCACTGCCAATTACATACTGATTGCCATTGATGCTAAAAATAATATTACAACATTAATGCAAAAATAACATTTTAAGCTCAGAGCCATTTTATGTAAGGACAGAGTTTGAATTCTGCTCCAAATTCTGCTGCTTGTTGAACATGCAGATCTTAATTCTCCAAACTCCAACTTTAATGTGTTTTATTAAAGTTCGTCAAACACAGCATGTGCTCTTTGGTATATCAGCCACTATACCTACACTGATTGAGGGTCTGGAGCTCAGGTACTGTGAGTTTGTTTGAATTCAAAGTCCCATCTACCTCAGGAAGGAAAGCCTGTGTTTCTGCAGAGACTTTGCAATCTAATAAGAAAACCATGGAATAAATTGCTGCTGTAACCTACTGCAGACCCAACAACAGCAGCTGCTGCTCACTCCACCTAGCACAAATACAGAGAACTCTGAAGAACTTTACAGCTGTCTGTGATGACAAAGGGATTGTAATGACAGGCTGTTAACACTTTCAGAGGCTTTTGCAAGTACAACCCACAGCAGCTCAGCCAGGTAAGGTTACATACCTGCAGACTGCCTCTCTCCATATATTTCTCACTTGCATCTGAGTTAAGCACACTCAGTTAAGCACACTCA